CTTATTAATTTGATATATAAATATAATCATCGATTCATTTAGCTAACTTCAGTAATTTTAAAAAAGATTATTATCACCATGCAACGCATGGTGTCAAACACTAGTTTTAAGTATGATAGGAACCACAATAATTTTCACAAGGTCATTACATAAATATGTAGAAAATGGATCTTGTTTGATGGATATATTGCAAGTGAGCCCATGGTTTCATGTAGCCCAATGTTGGTTTTTTAAGTCTTTAGTTTTTATTGCGTAAATAAATTCTGTTTATTATCAGTTTAAAGAAATTCATAGTTTATTTGTTTAACTATACATGATTATTTTGTAGAGACTTCATAATATAAGACTTATTCAATAAGCTTATAGGTGGTGCTTTATACAGAAACCCAAGTTTTTCCAGACCTGTTCCTCCCAATTAAAAAGCACGTTCATTTCATTTATGAAAAACACTCCCAAACAAAACCATTCACAATCTATACATACAACTTTATTCATATAAAAATTAATGGAAAACCAATCAAACAACACTCAACACTACTTGATTTTAAGGTAATAATATATACATTTTCTACAAAAATAAATGTTTGCATTTATGGGTGAGAGACTTTTTCCTCTAGTTCGAACTTAAAAGTAAAAATTAATTAATTTTTCTTAGAATATAAGTCATTAATCTTTTAAGAGTTCATAACTTTATCACATCGGTTTTCGTTTCTGTCACATTAATTTTTTCTTCCTACACATTTTATAAATCTTTCACCACCAATTATGAACCAGTCCATATTAAATTATAATTGTTTTGTATTAACTAATGGAGTTTATTGTATTATTTAATTGTTTTGGGGTTCACCTTTTTTTCAAGAATAAGATTCATCTGAATGGACCGATTCCATATCACATGGGTATGGACTGGTTTGACTCAATGGGGGTCTAAAAAACAAAGGGATCCATGGACCTGATCTTGGGCACTACTGTGGATGCTCTGAAAACAGAAGTCATTGTAACTGCATTATCGGGAATCAAGAACAAGCATATCAAAAACGTTTGCTCCCTCTCACTCGACTTTTAAAAATGTTAGTTTTAGGAATGCATGCATTTCTACCACATGAGTTCGAGGGGCTTACAAGTTGACGACATCATCCGGGAATAATGATAATGTGGTCTCAGTAGTCATAATGATGCGAACAAAAGATGCTTACCGCACTTTTTCCAATTTCGAGTATATGTCTTCAAGTTGTAGGTGGTGACGATGAATTGCAAATCTCGAAGAACCCAAGGGCATCATCTAGGTAAATACGATGATGCTTAAGTTAGTCGTACTAAAAATTCAATCTAATCGTGCATTCATAAATTTCGACAATTGGCCGGGGCACACCACAAACATTTAATTAGCATAATATTAAATAAAATACAAGTCAAATTAATAAAAGAATATTTTTTTTTGTAAGGGTGTCCGGGCCAAAGCCCGACTAATCCCCCACGATTTTGGAGGCTAAGCATGGCCCCACTTAAATGTCGCCAACACTCCCCTCCCAGGGCTCGAACTCGGGTTCATGACTATGTCATGCCCAAACCTTTACTACTAGGTTGGAAGGTCTTTGACAATTAATAAAAGAATATAATGTCATTAATAATTACCAAGATAACCAATTGATGATATAAAATCAAAACGCTAAAATTTTATGCATACAAAGAATCTTCTTTCATTTATGTACAAACTCAGTGACACCTACATATAATCAAAATTAGCAAGATGATGGAACATATTGAAAAGTCGTTAGGTATACAATATAAAAATAATTATTTCCATTTAATAAATCCTAACAATTGATAATCTATATTATATTATAAAACATTTGACAAAAACTCTTAAAAATAATTTTTTTATACATGAAGTACTGTTTATTGATGCATATTACTTAAAATTCAATATTACAAGTAAATTGTGCATAAGTACAACTTATTAAAGCTCAATGTTTGAGCCTAAATTAAATTATAATTAAAAAACTACACAAAAAATAAGAAATTTTAAATAGTTAATTTGATATTAATATCGATATATTTTTGTCAAAATTTTATGATATTTTCAAATTTATATTTTATTTAAAAATAAAAACATTATCACATTTTCAAAATCACATAAAATCATATTATAACATCGACTGAGATAAAAAAATAAAACAAAATATTAAAATCAAGATGTATCTCGCTGCATTACGCAAGTACCATTCTATAAACTTAAAAAACAAATCTATTTGCAACAAATCGTAGTTTAAATTATCATTTTTTTAATTAACAAACCCTAATATTTAATAATAAAAACTTAATTATAAATAATTAAATAAGTAACTATACTGTTTTTTAATAATTAATAAATAATAGATTTAAAAAATAAAAAATACATTTAAATTGACTCTTTCCAATAGGTAGAGAAGGGATGGGGGCAAGGCATAAAAAGAGTTTCTATAAAGGGGTAATTTGGTTATTAATTTTATTATTATATAATATTTATAATTTCAAAGAATTAGTAGATTTGTTTCGCTCAATATGGTAATGGGCTTGGGTTATAAACTTATAATCTATAATCTGATGATCGAGTCGATTCTATGATTATAAGTTCATTTCATACCGGAATAAATAGGGTTAAACAAGATTATATGAAAATGTCAATATAAAAGGGTACTTTGGTTATTTTGTTATTATTTCTTTATAATTCTAAAACTACGTTCTTCAAACAAACCTGTAGAGTATAAATCATCGAGAGATTCCACTCTAATTCCTGTCAAGTGTCAATCGAATGTATAGTTAAACTTCATTGAATTTCATTACAACTCGTTTAAATTTCAATTTTTTTGATGATTCCAATTCCACCGTATTTCATTCGTAGAAACTTGAGCGATGGACTAAGTCTTACTGTTTTCAAACCCGATTTCGTTCCAATTACTTTTCAAACCCTAGAACACTTCCATAATTATGCTAAAAAATTGTTTAATTGTCTATCTTCATTAATTAATTATACATTTAACACTTGGTCTAACTTTAGCATTGACGTAATACGTTATCTTCACTTGGTTCTAGTGTTACTTAAATGGTTAGGTATGTCCCAGTTCAACTTTGCTCGAGTTCGTAACGTATTTTATTTATTGATTTTGATTCTAATCGTCAAATAAATGCTTTTGTTTTGAACTTCTAATTGTAATAAAATACATTTAAATTTCAAAGAAATTTCAATAATCTTATTAAAACATACGATAAATGATATATATAAATAAAAATGAGGTAAAAGTCACAAGAGCAGAAGAATATAAAGGGAAACATTCGTCGCCTTTCGCAAGTCGTTGTCATATTTGTTAGGCGAATACTTGCAAGAAAGTTAAGGCCGATCTGATATTTCTTCTCTCTAAAAAAATATTAAAGTATTTTATTCGACATTTAATTTTATAGAACAATTGACTAATTAAAGGCTTAATGTATCGTTTATTATACAAACAAATAGAAAGAAAAACTTATAAAACCTTGAATTTAAATCAAATTCTTATTATGTAAAATATGTAGTTTCTTTACATAACATATGTTTAAATAGACGAAGAATCATGTGAGAATAGAAGTTAAAGATGAAAAACGTAAGAAATGATCTAGATCCTTAATCACTTTTAATCCCACATCACCCCATGAATTGCGCTTATCATGAGAATTGATCTGGTTTATCCCGATGTATCACATTAGTGTTGATCCTCAATTAAGATCCGTCGGGAGGGGGGGAGGATCATTTTTTACCCTTATCACCATACATTTCATTCTCTCTCGAACTCAACATTGTTATAATATATATATATATATATATATAGTTTGTTTCAAATACAACCCATCACATTTGTACAACCAATGCAACCCAATATATTGAGATATTTATGAAAATGATGATAGTTCATTTATTATGATTTGAATATTTATGGAAGATGAATATGGTTCATTAATTATGATCGATACCTTATATTAAGAAATAATAAAAACTTCTATGATATCATATATTAATCAAATGAAATGTACGGTTGAGATTGAGTTGTATTGGTTGTACAAATGTCAAAGGTTGTATAATAACCAACCCCTCTCTCTCTCTCTCTCCTTTCACCAACTCTATATACTTCGTCTCTATACGCATTCTTTTTATTTTTATTTTTTTTATATGTTTTAATATATATATCTATACGCATTCTTGTTTTTTTATTTTATTTTATATGTTTTAATATATATATATATATATATATATATATAATAATAATAAAAAATAAAAAAACAAGAATGCGTATAGATATATATATTAAAACATATAAAATAAAAATAAAAAAACAAGAATGCGTATAGAGACGAAGTATATAGAGTTGGTGAAAGGTTTAACGCGGAAGCCAGGGTGTAAGAGACGTTGAGGGATACCTTCTCAAATTTAAACAATTTCAAATCCAACTCATTTAACTTTTCCAAATAATGCCAAACTCATTGGACCAAGACATCTTACCCACCCAAGGCTATCTTCGTAACTTCACATTTACATTTACATTTCATTTTTATTTTCAAATTTCCTTAATTCAAATATTTCATTAAGCATAAAAAGATGGTTACCCTACCCTTCCTTCCATTATAAAAAATCAAAATTAATATCGATTTCATTACGTTTAATTCAACGTTAAAAATGCATCTTTATCTACTAATTTACTTTTCTTCTCGTATTTTATCATACAGACACATTTTTTATTTTTTTAAATACATGATTTCATTATGATTTTTTTAGAGAAAATGATTTCTATTTTAACATTTCCATTTTATTCATATCATGACTGGTTTAATCCAAATAATTGATTGCATATGATTTATGTATTAATTGAGGAATCTTACACTCATATATTTCATTATAATCCCCCCCCTCTCTCTATATATATCTATATATTCTACGTCTCTACAGTCTCTCCAACAATCATCAAGAACCTTAACCCTCCCTCTCTTTCTCTCTCTAAACTCAAGACATCAAGATGGCTTCTTCCACAATTTTCAAATGCTTCATGTTAATGGCGGTCTTCACCACCTCATGCATCGCACAACCTCCCACCGCCACCCCAACTGTCTCACCCACCGCCACCCCTACGCCTTCCCCCGTCCTCACGCCACCATCTCCTTCCCCTACACCCGTCCCTGCTCCGGCTCCTGCCCCCACCGTTCCTTCTCCATCTCCATCTCCATCTTCATCTCCATCTCCCACACCGGCACCTTCTTCTCCTTCCCCTAACGCAGATTCCCCATCAAGCTCTCCTTCACCAGGTCCCACCACCGGACCACCGGCTGATATTCCTCCGAGTGGCACCTTCGCCGATGGGTGGGTCAACAGAGCCGTCATCGTTGGCACTGCAGTCGCCGGATCATTCCTTGCTGTCACTTTGATGTGAAGATGAACACATGTTTGTATAATTAAATATATATAGGGTCAACATTCGTTTTTCTTCCTTTTTTGTCTGGTACTTCTACGGATTATCATTTTTATATGTTACCTGTTAATTCTATATACTGCTTTTTTTTTTCCATTGGTCGGTAATTGTTTAAGGGGCCGTTTACCGAACGCTTACTCGGGTAAGCACTTACCAAGTTACGTTACCTTACCGGATGAATATGGTAAGGACCAAGAATCTTATCCAATAAGAGCGAAACAAGGATCGAAAGTCTTACCCGGTAAGTGAGAGTGACAACTCTTATCACGATTAGTGCTTACCGAGTAAATTGTTGCATACACTATTGTTTTTATGGACTAAAATCTTACCCGGTAAGTAAGCAATAATGTTGAATTTCACGGGTAAGCACTTACCAGGTAAGTGATCATGTAAACGGCCCCTAACTCTATTTTTGATTCCCAACTTAAATTGATGCATCTTTTTATTGGGATGGATATTACACCCCTTGCTTTCTTTTACCAAATTTTATCGGGTAAGTATTTATTGATAAAATTCATCACATTATTTTATTCTATGAAATAATATTTTTGGTCATCAAAATGGATTGATGACAAACGTTTATAACCAATAAGCACTTACCGTAAGAGACATCACCATCACTTAACGAGTAAAACTCTTGATCCTTCATCTTACCTGGTAAGATATTTAGTTCTAAACGCTTACCAAGGTACATGTTTAGTAGACGACACTTAACTTGAGGCCAGGTTAAATATATATATATGTTCTAAATTTCGTTTAAAACAACATTGGTATAAGGTTCGATGCTTACTTTTAACAAAATTACAAGTGTTAAGAGTTACATTTTAGCCTCGGTTTTTAGAAGTTTGTTCTTACATTAACACTTACATTTTTCCAATAGTAAATTACAATTCAACGTTAGTTTCAACATATTTACAACATCAATTTCTTGGTTTAAGCCGTTTATTACGTATTGTAATTCATGGTTTGCAGTTCATGTTTAAGAAATCGTGACATTTTAGCCATATTGGTCCTAGAGCATTCATGATACAAATTAACTCACGACGAATCAACTAGAATTTGTTAGAGTTTTATTGTAGCGACAATGGGGTAGAAAGTCAACAAGATGGTGATAATTTCAAAGGATGAGTCTTTTTTTATTTTATTTGCTTGATAAGTAAAAATCAGATAAAGTCATCTACATCGATCGGGTGAGTTTCTTGCATGCATTTAAATTTTGATACATGTGTTTTGTAAAACGCTAGTTATGCATTTACGGTGTTACAAGTGTCTATATTATATATTGTATCGTGCTTGTACAGTTGTTTATGCAAATTGATAACATAAATAAAATGTTTACTTATACGAAAATATACATGGTATTTGATTGTCTTCGCTCTTAAGGCATGAGTTTTTATAACCGGTGTTTGTGTGTCAAAGATAGTTGTCACAAACCAGATGACAACAATATTAACTTAGCGTTTCAAAGGCATTGGATTTTGATGTCTGGTTACAAATAGTGTTACGGGTTAAACCATTTTCAAGAAAATGACTAAATTCTATATATGACTACGGCTACCATTTAGATTTCTGACTTTTTGCAAAAAGCTACGAAAATGAGGATACCCGACATCAAGTGCAGGAATTGTTGTCGAAGGGGCGGGAGAGTCTCATTCCGTGTTCAACGCATGCAAAACTTAGCTCAAAAGGAGGCAACTGGAGCGTGTAGATAGGCTTTGAAGCAGGGCCACAAATATTTCAAAACTTTTGAAGACGGGATGGAAAGACTTTCGTATGACTTTAGTTCTGCCATAAATAAAATATATATAAACAAGGGCGGATGGTGGCCCATAAAAGAAGTGGTCCAATTTGTTTCTTTTGTTGCACAAACTGATTGGCTTGCTATAAAAATATATTGGATTGCAGTCTCTTAAATTTTTATGTCGTTTTAACAAAATAAAATTGTTTAACTGGAAAAAAAACCCTAATTAAGTGCTTGGTTGGGATATCAGGGATAAAGCAAGTTTTGAAATCCAGATTTAACAGGTTAAGCAACGGGCTCGAACACGAAGTTCTTAGATATGGAAGTCGTAACCTCAAGTATGAGCTACATGTTGGTTCATAAAACTCAAATATACTATAAAATTACAAATTTGCAATCAATACTATTTAGTAAATGATGAGTTCCCTGCTAGACCCAAAACTAATACAGTTTTAAATTTATTTTAACTCGATAAACATCAAATATCATACTTTTGGGATACAAGGGTATCAAAATAAAACCACCATAAAAGTAATGGTATTTGCAGTCTGATTTGAATGGTTTAACTCTTAACCACAAATAAAGGTTTACGATTTTTTTTTATTAACCTGGATATCCAACCCGTTATGCGAGGCGACTAATCTTAGAGCGACCACCTATCTTGCAGATAGCCCGAAGTCACCGCATTTGAACCTTCGTGGCCACAATGAGATTTTTATTCCTCCTTGTATTTGAACCTGAGACCTCCTGGTACTTTTGATCTTTGGAGTTAAGCTCAAACCAATCAGACACCACCCTTATGGTTGGTTTACGAAATTTTCTAAACCGAGGAGTTTGGCAACCAGATACCTGATCACAAAAATGTGGTATGTTCTGATCAGTTTAAATGGTTTTACCTGAAAATATATAATATCTATTTTCTTTGATTAAATTTTACCAATATATGATTATTAAAAAGATACTATACTAACTATAAAAGAAATATATTTACTTCAATAAAGAAAAACATAGAATGCTCTTGGTTGAGATTTCACCACAAAACTTGTCCAAATGGAGATGGATTATGGTATTCTTGTCATAAGGCTATTGGCCAGGAGAGGACCTGTTTGTGTTTCTGGCCAATTTCAAAAGTTGGAACCCAAGTGTTAAAAGTTACATTTTAGCCACAGTTTTTAGAAATTTATTCCTATATTAGTATGTGAACTAAAGGTTTTAGAGATGGGCAGCTTAACCCCCTGGCTAAATGAAGTAATTCAAATATTAATCCAAGAATAGTTTTCAGCCTTGTGAAAGAAAATTATGATATTTTAGACACTTTCCTTGCGGTAAATTGCAATTTAATATTTGTTTTACCATATATATATATATATAAAGAGAGAAAGAGAGAGAGATGTGAGTTATTATGCAACCCCTTACATTTGTACAACCAATTCAACTCAATCTCAACCGTCCATTTAATTTGATGAGTATGTGGTTTCATAAAACTTTTGATTGTTTCATAATATAAAGTATTGATCATAATTAATGAATTCTAGTCATCTTCTATAAATATTCAAATCATTCTAAATGAACTATCATCATTTTCATAAATATCTCAATTGATTGGGTTGCATTGGTTGTACAAGTGAACATAGTTGCATTTAATGAAAGTGAGAAATGAATAAAAGAGTTTATACGCAATCGAGTTAAAGCTGAAAAAAATGTCAGTTGGGGGTGAAAAGTATAAAGTTGGATAAGATATAGAAGTCAGGAGGCAGAATGTCATTTTCTCAAAGTTCTGAGACAATGTCAGATGTCAACAAGTTCAAACCAGAGGAACCTGTTTTGTAAATTTAACAGATCTGCAATTGTTCATATTTGAAAACGACAAACGATCTTGAAAGGCTTTTATTGGCTTGTTTAGTCAACGAAAAAGCCACAAATTTACAGGTTTAAGTAGTTGAGACTTCTCTGTACATTTTTCATTCAAGAAGATAGACTTTTCACGGAGAATCGAGAGTGAAACCGGAGCTCGAAAGTCTCATCCGAAATCTTTGTTTATCGACGATTTGAGATAAAATACCCAACCAAATTTCAATTTATTTATATAGTTAGCTTCGTTTTTAAGTTCTCTATCAAATCTTAATAGCCTTATTATGTCTCAGATTTTAGTGTTGAAGATTCAATTTTGAGTTTTTAACGGATTTTCGAGTGGTTAGAAAGCTGAAAATTTAAATGACAAAATGGGACTCAATAATTGATGTTTTTTGTTCCTATGATTGAGGAAAATCATTTTCTAGAGTTTTTGCAAAATGAATCGTCAAAACGACATAAAAAACGAGGCCAAACAGCTGTTTTTCGGGCCGCCATCACTATTGGACCAGCTGGTCGACGTGCTGGGCTCCGGCTGGTGTTGTGGGATGCATACCAAATGCGCCAAAATCAGTTACAATGTTGGGCCATATGTTGTTGGAATCGTTTGTTTTATCAATGTTGGGCCACTATCTCTAATTATTTAAACGAGGCCCAATTTATTTATTTTTAGAATCTAATTAGTTTATGAAGTTATTTATTCAAATGATGGATTTTAAGCGTTATTTTGGTTAAATATTACAGAGACGCCTTAACGTGGGATAAATGATTCCTTTAATAATTAAAAGGATAAGGCGATGTTAAGAGTTATTATCAAGTGTAACACTTTAAATATTTATTAAAGTGTTTCGATGATTAATAATGTGATTAAAGCGTCGTAAATTGAGTTAAGTATTTATTGGGACAGTTTAATTTCAAAAAGAGGATTCATAAGATTATAAGATTGTAAGATGATTATTTTGACGTTTAGGGACATTATCGAGATTTAGACTTGGGATTTGTCTAAAGCTAGTTGATGTTGACTAAGTTGACCAAGTGCTGACTTTTACCTCGTTTGACCCAGAAGAATGTTAACAATAAGATGAAATGAAGATATCTGAGATATTAAGAGACCCGGTTTTGGTGTTTGGCTTTAGGTCGGATCGAGTTTGACCATAGTTGACTTTATTGACTTTTGGAGGAATTAAACCATTAATTGGAAATCATGATTTGAAATAAGTAGGTGATTGGTCAAGAGCTATGAGTAACCGATCTACATATAATCATGTGAGTTTTCATGAGACTTACAATGAGATGCATACCTATATACAAATTTATTTTCGAGCGTTCTATGATTTGTATGGGGATGTGTACGTATGATTGATGCTTCAGTTTACATACATGATATAATATATTTTACATGTATGTTATTTTATGCTCAGTTGTATGTTATGTGTTTATTTTGTTTTTCAAATAACTCTCACATGCTATTTCATATTAAAGTGTTATGATCAGTTTTAACG